GATGCAGCTGCCAGGAAGTGCAGGCTGTCATCTAGGACACTTCAGTTCTCCTCTGCATGACTTCTCACCTCCAGTTCCCTGAGCTAGACTTCTTTCCATAGTGCTTCCAGAACAGAATTCCAAGGGGGTGAACATTAAAGCTCCTTAGGCTTTTGAGGTGTAGCAATGGAAGTCATAAAAAGTTATTTCTATCATATTCTATTCATCATAGCAAATCATAAGCTCACTCCAAATTCAGGATAGACTGACATAAATAATACATTATCTGGCTAGGCACAGTTTCCCTTAATCACAAGTGCTCTCTGGCCATGACGAAAGGTTAGTTTCTCAGATTCCACCCTGCAGAACAGTATCCAAAAAAAGGGAATATGGCCTCCTACAGGGCTATATGCCCCAGAGAGAGAGGTACCATTTTCAGATCTGCACAAAAATGCCCCATGTGTATTAACTTCTCATTAAATAAAACATCTGAGAGAAATTACTTGGGAAGGAAGAAGGCTTATTTTGATTTACAGCTCGAAGGTTCACAGTGTAAGTCTGGGCAGCCCCAGTGGTTCAGTCAACTGGTGAAGCCAGAGGATGGTAAAGGGACAATAAAATGGTAAGACAGAAGCAGAGAGCAGCTAGGGCCAACTCTTTAAATAGCCAACCCCAAACCACCTTCCAGGGACAAGCCCACAATAACCTAAAGACCTCCCATTGAGGCTACCTCCTAGATGTCATAATTAGATTGAGCCTCCATCCTTAATTCACTAACCATTATTACTAATTCACTAGCCATTAATCTAAGATTGTGGGGACCAAGTCCTCAATACACGGTCATTTGGAGAATATCAAAATATTATCTAAACCATAACATTATTGAAAAAGGGTACTCCTTGCTGTGAACTCTAGATATGGTCCTCTTCTCATGCTGTGTACCCCCTAAATGCCCAAGAAAGACCAGGAGGCCCCATGGCACCAGTGCCGCCTTTATCTCAGTAACAGCCGCTATCACCCCTGCAATGGCTTTGCTCACTGCCACCTCCATATATTCAGGACATCTTGAAGAAAAATAACACAAGTAGCGCAAGACACTCACTACTCATGACCCTTCTGTGAACGTCTCATCTTTTCTCTATTCTCATGTAGAAGATCAGGTCCTTTCCTTTATCAAAAAAAATTACATAAAGATACACATACCTGACCTTAATCCTCAGCTCACAATTTCAAATATCTAATTTCTATTAACTAATTATGATTAGCCAGGCACTGTACTACATATATTAGCTAGAATGCTTCATTTAATCCTTTTAACACCATATAAGATAGGAATAATTATCATTTTTATCAATGACAAAACTGAGGTATAGAAACAATGATAACCCAATTCCAAGAGGTTTGGTACTAAAGACTGTACATTAACTTCTGTGCTATCTTCAATGTTTTTCTTTCATCTGTAGAATAAAGCTCAAATACCTAAGTCTGGCAAGTCCACTAACATTCTCAGAGATGGCTTGTGGTATATGATCATACTGTGGTGTCTCTTTTTGAAGTGTTGAAGGTAGAAACCCTAAGATCTAGCCCCAGATTCATTTTCCCTAACTCTCCTTTATCAGTGCACCATACTCGTGTTAGAAATCCTATGACTTAGCTCTGCAGCTAGTTCATGCACCCTTCCACACAGAAAGCCTCTTTATTCATTTGCAGTTAATAATTTGAAGAAACATTGTTTTATTCAATTCCTTCTATGTGTCTACCACTTAACTCATTCCATTCTCACAGCTCTATTAATAACTAACATTATTATAGTCCCTTTACAGATTAAAAAAAAAAACAACTGCAGCACAGGAAGATTAGCATTCTATACAAAATCATACAGTTCTAAGTAGCAGAATCCACATTCACATCCTGGGAAACTAGTTCTGGAGCCTGTGATCTTAACTCCCACCCAATGCTATCTCTCAATATTATGTATATGTAGTTCTTAGAAATATACGTTCTTGGCCGGCGCCGTGGCTCAATAGGCTAATCCTCCGCCTAGCAGCGCCGGCACCCCGGGTTCTAGTCCCGGTCGGGGCACCGGAGTCTGTCCCGGTTGCCCCTCTTCCAGGCCAGCTCTCTGCTGTGGCCAGGGAGTGCAGTGGAGGATGGCCCAAGTGCTTGGGCCCTGCACCCCATGGGAGACCAGGAGAAGCACCTGGATCCTGCCATTGGATCAGCGCGGTGCGCCGGCCACGGCAGCCATTGGAGGGTGAACCAACGGCAAAACGAAGACCTTTCTCTCTGTCTCTCTCTCTCTCTGTCCACTCTGCCTGTTAAAAAATTAAAATTAAAAAATTTTAAAAAAAGAAATATACGTTCTTGAATAGTACTGTAGGACCAAAAATTTTATTTCTTAATAATTTTAATATGATTTTACAAAATGAAGAATTACCAAGATATTTTAAACAACCAATTCCTAAACAAAAACATTTTATTAAAAATATATTTTACTACAGTATTATAAATACATATTTAATTTACATAAGCACAATTATTATTCATTGTTTAAAATTCTATGACTTTAATTTTCAAAATTATGATTGAAAATTGACAAACTGTTTAAGATAGAAGGGATGAATATAGGAAATATTTATGGAGAAAACACTTTCAAAACATACTGAGTGGCTAGATATGAGAAAAAACAGGATGGGAAAAGTAAAGGATGACATCCATTTGAAAATAGCTTACGATAAAATGAGAGAGATCAGAAAACATCACCACTCACATTTCTTTTTTTTTTCACATTTCTTTTTATAAAAAATGTGTGCTTTATGTAGCTAATTCTTCTCAGCCATTTATTAAAATATCATAGCTAATGACTCTCAAAACATGAGGTTAAATATGCTTTCTATTCATTATGTAGTGCCCTATAATTTTAATCCTTGTGTCCTGCCAAATTGAAACTTTCATGTGTTTAAATTAAAAGCTGTTTGTATGAGTGAAATCCACTGCATTGTCTGCATACATGTTCAAAGCAATAATACTAAATATAAAAGCCAAAAAATTTTAATGACTAGGACTTATTGAGTGCTTAATAAGCATTAGTACACACTAAGTGCATGTTAATGACACATATCTTGTGTGCAGCAAATAATACGGTCTCATAAGTCATTTTGTTATTATCATTCTTTATTTTTCACAGAAAAAGATAATGAGTTAGTTTAACTAGTTGGCCAGGAAAGATCTGTTCTCAAATCCTGATAACAAATTAGGTTACTCAGCATCCAAGAATTCCTTCCTCTGGTAGTTGCCAAGCCCGCAGTTGACTAAACTTAATTCATCTTTAAGTATTTAACACATGCTGCATATTATGTAAAGGGCTGGGAAAACAAAAGATGAGAAGACATGGCCTCTCTTCTTAAAGAACTCATTGCCCAATAGGAGCATGCATGTGAAAGCACACTATCACAACACAAGGTCATGGTTAATCAGAGAGTAATGGGGGTGAGGTGTCCAGGCATATCGAGTTAATAATAACATATAAATAACTTAGAGCCAGCAGAGAAAAGATTAGAATTAGAAATTAGAATTAGAAAATAAGTAATTAAGGTCTTAAGATGACATCTTCCTGGATTGTCTATCTGGGTTGGCACTAAATCCATTAACAATTATCCTTATGAGAGATATACAAAGGAGAGATATACACAAAGAGAAGATGGTCATGTGAAGATGGAATCAGAGATTATAGTTATCCAGCCAAAAGTCAATGAATGCCTACTGCACAAGAAATTGGAAAAGGCAGGGAAGGATATTTTCCTTTTGGGGAGGGGAGTTTTGGAGAGAGTACAGTCTATAAACACCTTGAATTCAGACCTCTGGCTTCCAGATCTGTGGGAGAAAAAAGTTTCTTGTTGTTGTAAACCATTAAGAATGTGGTACTTTGTTATGATAGTCCTAGGAAACTAAAACAATTATCTCCTAGGAAACTAAAACAGTTATCAACAGAGTTTCTGTGGAAGGAATCTAATATATAGTTGCTAAGTTATAGCTGATTTAATTGAGAAAGTATTGGGAACTTACACTGATAGTCCTGGACATAAATAGATAGGCAAATGAGAATTAACCACTGGCTCCCATTGATAACCTTGATAAGCACATTTTCAGCAGAGTGGTGGGCTACTACAAGGAAAGAGAGAACTTAAAGAAAATAAGTATGGGAAACCATTTTAAGGAGTTTTGCTAAAAATTTTGTAAATAAATCAGAAATGGGGTTAATGGAGTCAGGAGAGAGAGATTGTGCAAAATGAAAAAGTAATGACATGTTTGTACACTGAGAGAATGAGCCAATAGGGAACAGAAAGCCGCTGATTCAGATAGAACGAGCTGGTGAAGCAATGGTGCTTTATTCTCTTTAAACTGTTAACACGTCTGATATCATCCCTACCTTTGAAGCATTTATATTAAAGTCCAAATTAGAGACTTTAAACTAAGAATAACAAGGGGATTGGGTGCCAGAAAGGAGAGGTAAAAGTGCTATGTGAATGTATAACACAAGAACCTAATGCTGGGAGAAGGGGTGACAATGGTGGTAGCAGTCAGTGAAGATATTTGTTTAAAATATTTATTTATTTGAAAGGCAAATTTACAGGGAGAGAGAGAGAGAAACTTCCATCTTCTGGTTCACTCCCCAAATGCCCCCACAATGGCAAAGGCTGGGCCAGGCCAAAGCCTGGAACTCCATCTGAGTCTCCTACGTGGGTGCAGGGGTCGAAGCACTTGGGTCATCATGTGCTACTTTCCCAGGCACAGCGCCAGGATATCAGAAATGGAGCAGCCAGAACTGGAACCAGCACTCATAAGGGCTCTTGGCACCACAGGCAGTGATGCCACAAAACCCAAAAAACAAAACCCGTCACTATGCCACAAAACCCATTAACAGCGAAGCCATTTAAGAAAAGATTTAGAAGTTGAGTCTACAAATGGTTTAGAAAGTCTTAAATGTTGTTAAAATGAAAAGTGGAATCAGTTCAATTTACCGAAGTTTCTTGAGCAAGAAAAATGTTCCAGAACCATCCAGTATTCCAGGCTGAAGGGTCAGAGATTTCCATACATGTGGGATGTATATTTAAGCCAAAGAAAAGGAAATGACAAACAAGAACCATCTGATTGGTTGCAGTTGGCCATGGCCATATTTGGCAGCCCTCAACCTCTGATTGGCTGGAAGTTCAGTTGCCATGATGGGCTGAGATTCAGTTGCTTGGCTACAGGGGTATTAGGTTAGGTTAAAATTTGTTCAAAAATCAAGCTAAGTTATAGCTCACTATGTATGGAGGCTACATTATCCCTCTTAGTAGTTTTTTTGTCTGTTCTACTTAATATGACTGGTTTAATTCTGTAATTAATACACAGTTATTCTTAAGTGTTGAAATTTAACTGAAATGTGATCCCTGTTAAACATAAGAGTAGGAATAAGAGAGGGAAGAGATATATAATTTGGGACATGCTCAAGCTGACTTGCCCCAAATGGTAGAGTTAGAAACATACCAGGGGACTCCAATTTAATCCCATCAAGGTGGCATGTACCAATGCCATCTCACTATTCCAAGTGATCAATTTCAGTTCACAATTGATCATAATGAAAGGACTAAGAGTCAAAGGGAGCACATAAGCAAGTCTAGTACCTGCTAACACTAACCAATAGAATAAATAAAGGGGAGAGTGATCCAACATGGGAAGTGAGATACTCAGCAGACTCATAGAATGGCAGATGTCCTGAATGGCACTCTGGCTTCAGAGTCAGCCCTAAAGGCATTCAGATCTGGCTGAAAAGCCCATGAGAGTATTTCAGGCATGGAAAGCCAAGACACTCTGGCAAAAGATCTCTGTGAGTGCGATCTCAGTGGAAAGAACAGGTCTTCAAAGAAGGAGGTACCTTTCTCTGAAGGGAGGAGAGAACCTCCACTTTGACTATGACCTTGTCTAAACAAGATAAGAGTCGGAGAACTCAGAGGGCTTCCATAGCCTTGGAAACTCATGACTGGAGCATAGGGAGATTACTGATGCCATAGACAGGAGTGTCAATTGGTAAAGTCAACAACAGGAGTCACTGTGCACTTACTCCTCATGTAGGATCTCTGTCCTTAATGTGCTGTGCATTGAGATTTAATGCTATAACAAGTACTCAAATAATATATTTCACTTTGTGTTTCTATGGGGGTGCAAACTGTTGAAATCTTTACTTAATGCATACTAAACTGATCCTCTGTAAAAGAAAAAAAAAAAAAAGAAAAAAAAAAAAAAAAAAGAAAAGAAACCATCAACTCCCAACTTGACTCTCACTGGGATTAAACATGACAATAGGTCTGATCTGATTTCATCATCATTTAAAAAAAATCATCTATTATTTTTCACTTTATGTTTCTGTGTGGGAGCAAACTGTTGAAATCCTTACTTAATGTATACTAAGCTGATCTTCTGTATATTAAGATAATCGAAAATGAATCTTGATGTGAATGGAAGGGGAGAGGGAGTGGGAAAGGGGAGGGTTGTGGGTGGGAGGGACGGTATGGGGGGGAAGCCATAGTAATCCATTATTCGTACTTTGGAAACGTATATTCATTAAATAAAAGTTAAAAAAAAAAAAAAGAAAAATGTACTGTTCAATTAGTAGTCAGGGTTAGACCAAATTTATTTCAGTTCAACAGTATAAAAGCTCAAATGTGAAGCAGATTCAAAATCATTTCTATTGATCTCATTTGATTTGATAATTAATCCTATTTACTTCACAAGATATGCTAGTTTTTTTTTTCTCTTTGCTTTGCAAATAGATACAATAGCATTATGAAATTTAAGAACTTAAATTACAGATCCTTTATCTTTCAACTAAGTCAATCACAATATTACTTTTGTCCTCAGTTATCTGCTGTATTTGTAATTTATTGGCTATAAAAACATAATGACTAAAACTAAGATCAGCTATTCATGACACTTTAAATATTTAGAAAATCCATAAAATGCCTGTAACTTCTAAATGCATGTGTCTTCAATGATATATGACAGTGGTTAAAAGAAGTGTTTATTTTTCTGACATATTATTACAACATTATATATGTATGCAAGCCATTTTCATAGATAAAGATACATTGAGAATAGAAAAAAAAATCACATGATGAATTTCTCTAACTATTTTAAATCCTCTGGGAATTGCTTTCCCAGATTGAAAAAAAAATGTTGCTCTGTCAAACCACATACAACCAAATCAATTTTCTCAGTACTCTTGCAGAATACTAACAAACTATCTTGATGAGAGAATATTCAGGTGAACTGGTCATTTTTTCTTTCCATTTCATTGCATTGTTGCCATAAGCCAGTTGCTGATAGTTTCTGTCTTGAAAGTAGTCTTATCTCTTTAGGTAACTCAACAAATTAAGACGGTTGCTTAGTTTAGCTAGGAATAAACAAATTTTTATCTGGTGGAGACTGAATTTTATGACTCTGATTATTCGCAATTTTCTCTCACACAAATCACTTTGGTTCTTTTCCAAAATTGTTTCTTTATTGCTTGTTTTGTTTTACAAATTTCACCCTTTTCTTAACTTCTCAATTTTTCTTTTTATTTTCTGTATTACTAGTCACACTAGAAAATTAAATACGTATCAAGCAAAATAAAAAAGACATACATTTATTCACTTAATAAAATGTTTTGAAAGAAACCATCTGAAGACATTCTTATTACACATTCATTAGTGGTTATGTTCAGGTTGTGTTTCAGTCACCTGGGGCTGTGTTATGGATGTGTTTTATGTCTCTCTCACTGTGTCTCACAGATGAATTTACCCCTATTTATTATTCTTATTTCATCTCCATCATTAAGACCATAAAACTACAATTTCCTTGAAGGCAAGCAGAGACATGCACTGTTCTTGTGTTTAAGTATGTAAAGGACAACTGCTGTCTAAGTATTCCCTACCTGCAACACTTGTAAAATACCTGGACCAGTGCAAACACATAGTGGGAGTTCAGTAATCATTAGTTGTCATCCTTATTATTATTTCATAGCCATATTATTAGGAAACATATTTCTATGATTACAAATTTGTATGCATAAGATTTTAAAAATCACTGTCGAAAAAGATTTGGACTCTACAGGCAGTTCTTCAAGTTGCACGTTTTAGCAACAAGCAAAATACATGAACTCAGGCCACTAGAGGGTCATTTATTAACCATAAGTCACTGTGACTCAGTGCCTCATACTTCAGCTCAAAACTGAAGAAATATTTCACAAGTTTGGAATAGCTGAGGATCTAGGGACCTCACATTGGCTGCTGATGGAAGACAGAAAAGATCTCATACATGGACAGCTCCAAATGAATGACTTTTAACATCTGGTTTTCAATGTATAAAAGCCTTTTGAATTACAGCAATGCTACAGTGGATTTCTTAAAAAAAAAAAAAAAAAAAAACTAACCATTACTGAATGGGCTCTAAAATCAAAGCCTATATTATAGAATACTACTTTGTAACTTGTTCCTCACATACTGCTCTCTTCATTCATTCAAAACATTTTTTACTGAGCATACTCTACACCACACTAAGCAGATACTGCTCTAAGATCAGATACATAACAATGAACAAAACAAAGTGCCTGCCCTCATGATGCTACTAGCAAGGACATATTAACAGAGGCATATAAAAATAAACAGATGGTGTAGTAGGCTAAGTCTCTGCCTGTAGCGCTAGCATCCCATATGGATGCCAGTTTGTGTGCCAGCTACTCCACTTCTGATTCAGCTCTTTGTTTATGGCTTGGAAAAAACGTGGAAGACGGCCCAAGTGCCTGGGCCCCTGCACCCACATGAGAGACCCAGAAGAAGCTCCTGGCTCCTGGCTCCTGGCTTCGGATCGGCCCAGCTCTGGCTGTTGTGGCCATTTGGGAATTGAACCAGCAGCTGGAAGACCTTTTTCTTGTCTTTCCTTCTCTCTGTCTGTAACTCTGCCTCTCAAATATATAAAAATAAAGTCTTTTTAAAAATAAATAAATGGACAATTCAGTTTTTTAAACCAAACAGGTAGTAGTACATCCTCAGAAATGACATATGAGCCACACATAAAGAAATGAAGAATTAAGCACTGTAGATAATGGCAGTAGAGTATTTGAAGCAGAGGGTAAGTGACACAGCCCTGAGGTAGAAGCACGGGCAATGATTTCCAGAAACAGCAGCTTTCCAGGAACAGAGTGGCTAGAGCGACATGAAGCACAGGGAGAGCAGTAGGGGGGACATCACTTAAGCCTCTGTAATGCAGTAATGAGGAGTTTGAATTTCATGCTACTGTGTTGTCTGCCCAAATAATCACATTAAAACATAATCCAAACTTTTTTAGAGGAGTGTTGGGACCAATAATTTTCTCTTGCAATAGACAGCCTCCATAGTTGGATTTTGGCTTGACTTACCCTCTCTGCTATAGGAAGAACTCCAAATATAATAATTAACCACTTCAGAATCTTGGGTTTAGATCAATGATAACTCAAAGACAATTGCAATTGAGTTCTCCATTGGCTGGCATCTGGAAGCAAAGCTTGAGGCTGAATCAACAGACAGAATCATTGTCTTGGTCCTTTCCCTAATACTGATGTATTTATCGACACTCAACTGTTTCAGGTCTCAGTTCCTCATCTTAAAAAGCAAGGCACAGAACTGGTAACTTTTAAATTCTTTCCCAACTTTAAAATTATTTGAGACATCTCCATTTGTTTTGTACTGGTTGAATTCCTAATAAAATATTTCTAAAAAGACAAAAGAAACAAAAATAGATCTCTTTAATTCACCATTTATTATAATTTAGAGGGCTAATAAAATTTAATTTGTATAATTTTACTTATGAGTCCAGTGGATCTTGTATTATTATTCTCACTATTTAAATGTAAAACTGGGACAGGTGCTGTGGTACAGCCGGTCAAACCTCCACTTGGGATGCTGACATCCCATACTGGAGTGCATGTACAAATTCCATTACTGAGCTTCCAAACCAGCATCTTGCTAATTTTCCTGGGAAGGCAGATGGCCCAAGTACTTGGGTCACTGCCGCCCATGTGGGAGACAGGTGGAGTTCCAAGCTCCTATGTTCATCCCAGCCTACCCCCAGCTGTTGTGGGCATTTGGGGAGCAAACCAGCATATAGAAGCTCTTTATCTCTGTCTCTGTCTCTCTCTGTCACTCAGCCTTTCAAATAAATGAATAAATACATAAGCAAAAATAAAAGTAACAAAACATAATCTTACAAAATACATATGCAAGTAAATAGCTGCAGGTTTTCAGTTTTAAAGAATTCTCCCATCTCATCCTCCCTCAAAAATAAATCCATGAGACCTTCCTTCTAAGCCCTGTCCCATACTTCTCACAACAGACTGGCATCAGACAGATGTCGGTTTCATTCTCAGTTCAGCAACTTACCAGCTGTATATCCTATGCAACTTGGTAAGCCTCCCTATACCTCCTTACATAAAAATAAGGATTGGAATTTAATTATCACTCAAATTCTAATAACTATTATTAATTTTATTTTTTATTTTTATTTCCAAATGCTTTTTGAACATCTAAACCTATTCGATTCTATTCTTAATTCAAACTCAATATGCTCCCTGTCATCACATCACATTAGGTTCAACTGCCTTACAAAAGAA